ATGACAGAAGAACACAAATGTATTGCTTTCTTACTAGATATGCCTCTTTATACTATATGTTATGTATATCGTAGTCTCATTGTTTGAACATAATATTTGAAATATTGAGTTCTTCCACGCATTTCACAAGTATAATGGAGTGTATAGCCTGGGAACAAGTCTATTATTTTTTTTGGTCACAACTAACTATGTTTTCATCAAACATTAGATAGAAAAATGCAACATTTTAAAAATAGAGGACAATATAAATATTTGAAGTTGTACAACTCTACAAGACATTTGAAAGAGAAAATTACATTTATAGAGGAATGATTTAGAAGATAGAAAACAAGGTGGAGAAGAGTGTGTTCAGAAAATTTCTGATCTGCAAAAACTTATTTTTGCAATCGAATAAGTTTGCTACTTATTGCCTCATACGGGTCTACCTCAGTGGTCTTGCTCGCGATGTTATGATTTTGCTCCCCCAACCTTTGAACAATTCACCACTCATATCAAACATATGGCAAGCGTCTTTGCATCCTCTCTGCTTCTGAAATATTTTTACTTTTGTCATTGTGTTACCACAGAAAAGAAAAAGAAAAATTACCTCTGATTTCTATTTCATGATGTGTTGTCAAGCAGGACCAGTTCGAGGAACCACCCTCTGAGGCAAGTTTTAACATCTCAAGTTGATGATGTGTTGTCAAGCAGGACCAGTTCGAGTTGGTGGAACCACCCACCGAGGCAAGTTGAGATTTCTAAACTTGAACCAACCACTGACCCTAACATTTGAAAGGCAAGGTTTAATATCTCAAGTTGAGATTTCTGATTTTAGAATTTTTTGTGAAATCTGTAACCGTTCAACTTAGACCCCAAATGTGAAATACATAGCATGATTTTGGATTTACTGACTTTGATTGATGGTTACATCTTAGAGAGCTTGTTTGGAGCACCGCCAGAGGAGAGTAAGCTCTGCCTTCAAATCTTTCAACTGATTAGAAAAATATCAGACTTTGTCTTATCCCTCACATATTCCATTTCACAAAGATCCGAAAAGAGAGATAGAGACAAAAACACACACATCAGAGAATGTCACAAGGATGAAGGATGCAACGGTAGAAATGAAACTAAGAAAAATGGTGAATGTATTGGTAGAAAATAAATGGTTCAGAATCAGAAGTAAAGCTTACCCCTTTTTTTTTTTTTACATTTCAAAGCTGGTTCTTTACTCTTTTGTGTTTAGTGAAATGGCTATTTTAGTTGATGGATTTGAGTTCTTATGGGTTATATTTAATGGGCCCGACTTATACAAACGGCCCATATATTTAATGGGCCAGACTTATACAACCGGGCCATATATTTATTACAGGCAGTGAGAAGATTATGTCAGATTGTAAACTAAACTAATTAATTAATTCTTTTTAGTTGGAAAAAAAAAATTACCATATATATTATTCTCTCCACTTATAATTAATTAGATTTTGACTCACGCCAAACGTGGGATTAAATAATTAAATATGTTTTTAATCGAATTTAATATTTAGATGTGTATTCTAACATTTATAAACACACAAAAATATATGTATTGTGCATACAAAAAATAAAGCTAAATTTGATCAAACATAAACATTTTTTATCTTTGTTATTTTTTATTTCTCCCATCTATTAAAACTAATCATGAATTTTTGTTTTTGAATATTTTAATACCGCTTTTGACTCGGATAAAAAAATATAGTATTATTGAAAAGAAAATAAAATATTTTCAACTATTTTCTATATTTTTTAAATAAAATTCTCTATATTAATTACCACATATTCGTTATTTCAATATATTTGTTATTAAGAATTTTTAATAATTTTTATTAGGAAATGAATTCATTAGAATTCTCTAATGATAACACCTACGATTTTCACCTAGTATCTCCTCTATTAATATATAGAGGATTATCTAATACCATGTAATACATAAGGTAGTAACTAGCATTTATGTGAGACTAAATTCCAGTTTTGCCCTCATATAATTAATACAGATTTTTACAATTTAAAAAATAAAAATAAAAACTTTCCTTTTATTCAAAACTTTCCTTTACAGAATTCTCATGACATAGTTAATTATATTTTCCGTTAATAAGAGATAGTTACGTGTTACATAATTAACTATATTTACACAGTAATCATGACATAGCTAACTATACTGTCTATTAACAATGGATAGTTAGTTATACGTGTTACATAGTTAACAATATTTACACAATACTCATGACATAGCTAACTATACTATCCATTAACA